AATTATTATATAATAATTAATTATACTACTAATGTCTATTAGTTTATTGAAAGGAACAGTTATCCATGGAACAGATATCATGCTATCTTTTTGTTTCTGTTTTTATTATTTTCAACAGATTTCTGGTAAATAGAAATGGTTTTCCTGACTACTGAAAGTTCAAACATTATGTTACAAGAGTAAAATTTAGCCTTTTGCTGAGGGACTTTACTATTAAACTTCCATGAGATGACAATATCTCTTTTTAAAAAGTTATGCTTTGTAGTGCTTACATGGAATAGGATCATTCTGTGGCAACATTTATATAGGAAAATATATTATCATAAATGATATATAATTATTACTAATGCTTAATAATTATTCCATTGTTAATCTTTATATCAATTTGGAATTCTAGACGACAAATATAAATCAAAGGATTCAAATTTCTATATATATTAATTTTAAAAATCATTTATATTTTATTTTCAGAGAATATATGACGGCAAGGTATAGCATGCTTCAATATATGCACTTTCTGTTGATATTTATAATACACTAACCTTCATTTAAATGTATCTTTCTCATGTCATATGTGGGAAAAGAAACATATACTTTATGAAAATTTGCCTTCTGTATGCAAGTCTATTCATTCAAAGCCTTTTTGCCTTAATTGTCCTATGATATATTTTTAATAGTCTTTTTGGCAAAGTTTAATCTCAAGGTTACTAGCTCTATTTTCACCAAAGTCTTCCTCGTATAAGTGAGTGAGGAAACTTAGCAATACACACTATTGATATCATTTGCTTACATCCCCATTAGCAACAGTTAGAGATACACACACACACACATCCTCACTTCAAGAAACAAATTTTTTAACTCTCCAGTTCAGGGTTTATGACATTTGAAAGTGCAAATAGCACACCTGCCCTGGTCAAGCTTTGTGAATAGTTTTACTCCTTTATACTCCTTCTTCCCCAAAGTTCCTATTTTGTCAGCTGTTATAAGTACTTTATAAAGGATGTTAATTTTATTCATTTTAACCATAAAATAGGAAATACTCACTAAAGCAGAAAATAGGATATAGCATGAGTGCAGCTTTATAGATTCTTGCTTATCTATCTGTATTAAGACATTGGAGTTTTTCTACACTATAGTCCAGCATGTCAATTTTCTGGTATACTTTTCCCATTTTAAACCCACTGTGTTCACACATATTGTAAAAAGTAAGATATATCCTATTTCAGTGTCAGTATAAAGGGCCTGGGCATTGCTGAAATTTTATGAATATATTACAAACGCATGACAAATTGGATTTTACCAGGTGTTTTGCAATGCATTCAAAATTAAATTGGATTTTACCAGGTGTTTTGTAATGCATTTAAAGTTAAAAAAAAAAATATCCTGGGTAGTCATGTTTTGTACAAATATTCTTAGTAACATGAGAAGCATGCAGGATTTAAATAAGTATGCAATTTCTCAAAGGTAAAAATTCCTAAAAGTAGATTATCCTGTAAATTGAGAGGCTGAGAATGTCTATCTTACAAATCTTTTCACATGTTACATAATTTGTCAGGATGTCCTTTAAAAAGAAGATTAAGTATACATAAGAGACCATTGATATTTGCAGATATTTATTCTCAAATTTCTGTGTGTAGAGTCCTGTGATATTGCAATTAGGGCTTTATGTTTGAAGAGTCCCAGCATAATTTGATATCAATAATACTCATAATAGTAGAACTTCACAGTTGACATATCATATTATCCCCTTAAGGTGCACAGTGAAATTAATCCTATTTTAAAGAGAAAGCACTGCAACTTGGCTGAGATCAGACAGTAAGCAACTGAACCTGTACCTAGAGCCTCAAGTGCTTTGAAGACATTTCACTATCTTCGTAAACTTTTCTAAAGAATATGCCCTGCAATCTCAGTCAGTACTTCCAATGATCAGTGTATGATACACATATAGGCAATGATAATTATTATAGAACACATTCACATGACTTGAGATACAATCATGAGAATAACATGTACATTTAAAATAAGTGTGCTTTTGAGACATAATTTTTGACATTACCCCCAAACTAAAAATGACACTACAAAAAATATAAAAACACAATTTCAATTATAAAATTGTAATGACCGTACTTTCAAAAGATCACATGTAAATTTCAATCCCTTCTATCCTTATGTGTATAATATACACAATTTCCCTCTACAAAATTCTCTGAAGGATATCAAAAATATTAGTGATGCAGAAATGGTTGATGATATTTCAATGTAAAAGGAAGGAACCCACTGTTCAATTTGTACTTGTGAATTCTTGGCTGAATATCACACCACAATTAGGCAGATCCTGCATCCATGGCTTGCCACACATTAGTGCATTTGTTATTTTTTAAGCCTGAAATGATTTTCTTCCTAGAATCTGCTTGGATCTTATTGTCATTCCCTTTAGGTCTTACTTCAAATGTTATCGTTTCACTTAAGACCTTCCTATTCATTCTATTTACCTTTAGAACCCACTCCCACAACTGTTTGTGTTATTTTAGAGCATACATGACAGTCTTATGTTCAAAATTGATTTAAACATTACTCCTTTATTTAAATGTAAACTCCAAGATGGGAGTAGAGAGTTTTTTCTTTTAATACCTCTTTTGCAGTGTTGTATTTCTGCCTGGAAAAGTGGCAACCACTCAATGATGGAGAATAAATAAATTTTTTTACACCAAGAAATCAAAAATAAATGAGAGAAAGCAGGACTAGAAGGCTATAGAAAGAAACAAGAAGTATCTACGGATAATATTGGCCCAGTAATTATTTAATAACTTAGAGCAAATTTCAATATTTTATCCCTGCCATTAACTCACTTCCATGGGTTCTACTGGCACATATGAATGAAAAATCAATTTGAATAGAATAAGTTCTATCAAAATGAACAAGGAAGGCTCATGGGAATCAGAAAGAGAAGTAGCAAAAGCACCCAACCAGAACTGACCTTGATAGTTTACATTATTGTATTTCAATTCTCGTAAGGAATGTTTGAGATTAGGAAACTTGAGGCTTGCCAAAGGATTCAGAAACTGTGTGCAGGTAATCCTTGCCCAACCACCCCCTGAGAAGCCTCAGTGTAAATGGTCAAAGTCTGTAAATTCTGCATCTTAATGTTCAGAGTTATGATTTGTAAAGTTGTTTGCAGACAGGTAAAAGATGTGCAACAGGGGCTGGGGATTTAGCTCAGTGGCACAGTGCCTGCCTGTCAAGAGAAAGGTCATGAGTTCGATTTCTGGTACCAGAAAAAAACCAAAGAAAAAAAAGATGTACAACAAAGCAAAGAACTGTAAATTATGCATCATTTCAAAATATGTTCCAGTAATGGGAAAAAAAGACACAAGTTATATCTTGCACAGGTACAAATTTCCCATGAGGGATGTGATCATTATCTATACCTAAAATGTACCAATAAAAATCATTTTCTTTTAAAAACTAAAAATTACCCCAAAAGGAAATAGAAAATACAGAGGTGAATAACCCAAACCAATTTTTGTTCCACGGTACTTTTTGGCAGTGTTATAATTCTTCCTACTAGAGGTATTTATACTTTAATCTTTATTTACAAACTGAAAAACTACTATATAAGTAACTACAGGATTATTTGAGTAAAGAGAAAAAACATACCCATTAATACCCCCTGTAATACCCTCTACTAGAAATTCATCCAAAGACATTAACCATGGAAATGAACAGAGATATAAGTACATTTAATTTGGCTTTGCATTTGCAAAGGGAAGGAGAACTTTTCTTCTATATACAATACAAGTAAAGATATTTGCTGTTATTAAAGGAAACATTTTAGAGACTTACCTAGAGTTTTACTGTAGTAGGAATCCCATTCTCTCCAATGGGAATGAAATATATAGTCTTGTAGAAAATAAGAGAAAATGTTTTTAACCCTTTCGCCAAAAGTCATCCGGTCAGTGAGCTCTGACAAGGCCGCAGGTACATAGGAGACTGGTGCTGGGATTTTCCCACAGTGTCTTTCCACTGTGGAGGCCGGAGAGAACCTCAGTGTGTACACAAATGGAATTCCTAATTTGAGAGCAAGCAATTCACTACACAGTGTAACTGGGTCTGCTACCAGCACATCAAAACCACCTCTCTGAAGTCTTGCCATCAATGTGAGGTTGTTTATTACACGGTCACAGAGTTGTACATTGATTAAAAAGAAAGCCTCTAACAACTTTCCTAGTTCTTTGTAGAAAGCCCATAGTGTGAGAGGAGTTGGTTTATGGTCCATCCACATTATTATCATATGTTCGATTAAGGACTCTAAATAGCTCTTGTTAACAGAAACAGGTATCTCTTCAAAATCCACTAAAAGATCAGGACTTGAACTGATGAATAGGGTTGTTGAGGAAGTCAGTACAGTCACACTGTGATTTCTTTGAGTCAGCTCTTCTAAAATGACCTTAATATTTAACCAGTGGCTACCGTCTGTAGGCCAAATTAGCACATTTCCACTTAGCACAATTTCAGTCAGAGTCAAATTAAAAACCAAGAGCTGGACAAACTTCTTAGCCATGGTGATATCCACTATTGAAGCCATCCTAATGTGGATCTTTTGGGATGAAAAGAAACATTTGAGGTATATTTAGGTGAACTGTTTTTCAAATACAATAATATTTACTAATTCAAATAATATTACTCTCATTCAAAGTCAGTTTATCTAATGCTTAAAAGGAAAATAATACAATGCAAAATCTTATATGCATTGACATGGTTACTCCACAATAAAAGTGAAATCTAATCCCATTTTGAAGATAAAAAGAATTCACTGGCCTAGTATCAGTATAGTCTAATAATAACTGTGATATCAAAAACATCCCCTCAATACAATATATACAGAAATTAGGTTGAAGAGAAAATCAATAATTTTTTACTATTAAAACTACTTTATCAAAAAGTTACTTGTTTTCATTATAAGCCCATTTGTATATATTGTTTTATTCAATCTTTTAATAATTTTGTGTGAACAAAATACTCTTCATTTCATGGAAAGGTAGAGCAAAGTTGACCTACATACACAACGTGTATGACAAAATAACAAAATTGAGAATATAATCACATTTGATTAATGAGTAGGGCGACATAATTATTACTTCCTCATAGTTCTTATTTAGCAATAAAATTTAAAATAGCAACCTTCATTTATAAAAGGTTTTTCTGAACATCTCATAATGTTTTAAATTGACATGCAATCCCATACATTTCAGAGAAGACTTCCCTCTGCTCTAAATGGAGCGATTGCTGTCTCCCACTCTCTTATTGTTAGGGACTTTTCACTTTATTTCTTTTCACAGCTTCATATACAAATGACAAAATAAGGTCTGAGGAAACACAAACCTTTTAACTATATTTGTGTAGTAAATTAAAGTAGGTAGATCCAGAAGTTAGGTATCTACAGACTAAAAACTATACTTTAAATAATTTGTGACCATACAGAGATACTTAGACATTCTCGCCCTCACATTTTACAAATGTAAAGGAGACAATAGCATGTCTTTATTATATTACTTTCTACATTGGCAGCAATATTTGCAGAGCTACTTTGCAAACTGATTAGTTCAGAACAAGGCTGTAGTAATATTTATAGTTTAATTTTTCCCTAAAATCCAGCAGCTCAGTAACTTTATTACTAAATCTGTGGCCTAGTTATTGACAATATGTCCATTGCAGTACCTAGTTAATAAAAATATGAACAAGAATAAATATATAAATTGCTATTTAAAAATCTTGAGTGACCACAGCATGAGTGCACACAACCAGTGTGACCAGCGGTTCAGAACATTCTGAAGTGCTAGGGAAAGTTCATGACAGTGACTAGTGAATGAGATGAAGCAGCACTGCATCCCCACACAGATGTGCAAAACAGAAGTGGGGGGTTGAGACAACCATTTTAATTGAAATAGTTTTGGCAGGATTTAGTGCAGAAAAATCCCAGGTCATTTCACTGCCATCATCCCAGAGTGGAGTGAGAAAGGGGCCACATATGCACAGCAAAGTGCTGGGAGGTGGGAACAGACCAGGGAAAATTCTGATGGGAAGTCAGAGCTGGAATCATCTAGACTCCACTTCAGCGGACATCAAAATCCAGTCCTAAATACAAAGGACTGGAAACACCCCTCTGAGATGAGATCAGCAGAGTGGTCTTAGCCCAGGGACATAAGCAGGCAAGTAACCCTGACCTGCAGTGGGACAAGGTCACTCCTTCTGTCCAATAGACAGTACCTAGTGTCTAAGATGAGTCAGTGGTGTGGAATAGGTGAAACTGTGTAAGGTTCAGAAGGACCCATCTGTATATAGACCTGGGAACAATTCTGGGCATTCCCTACCCAAGAATACTACAGAAACTAGTTGAGCTCCATAGAGACAACCACAACCACTACCAAAGATCTGGATCATGAACCAAATAGATAGCAACATCTCCTCCTCAATAAATTGAGAAGATAGGACCTTAGGACACACACAAAAATGAAGAACATCCTACACATAAAAGACACTTCTGAAGAACAGATATTTCCAAGGGAGGTGTCAATACTAGTAATAAAGCTGTATAGTATAAGAAATTTACAGGTATCAACACACAAAAATATATAGAAAATCACAAGACAGAAGTAAAAACTAATTCCAGACCTCCAGCCCACATAGGACAAGCCCAAGTGACAATGAGATAGAGGAAAATGGAGGCAACCCATCTGAAAGCTCTGAAAAGATATCAGTAGAAGTTCAAAAATACGTACATGAGACTGTAGAGGAAATCAGATCAGAAGTAATCTCCCAGATTGAAAAGGAGATGATAAACACAATGAGGAACTTACTCAGCAAACCTAGTGTAGACATAGATAAAAATAGAGGAGCATAAGAAAATGATGGAAACCATAAATGCTTAACATAGGAAAGATATGGAATCTATGAAACAGACTCAAACAGATATCCAGGAAATTAAAAATTCCATTGAAAATTTGTAAAACAGCATGAACAAAAGTGAAGACAGTTTCAGACCAAAAGAGAAGATTTTGGCTAGTGATCAAGAAAAAGATCTCTTAAAAATAAAAAGGGACCATAAAAAAAAAAAATTCAACAGCTGCAACATAATGCAAAGAAAAATAACAGAATATTGATTGTAGTCAGTGAAAAAGCATGAGCCAGTACAGGTGACATAAAAAAAAAAAAAAAAAAACTGCACAATATTAAAGGCAGAAAACTTGCCAAGTCTGGAAAAAGAATTTGACATAGAGTTGAGTGAGGCATATAGAATTCCATTTAGCCATGATTGAAAAACATCTACCCCAAAGGGTATAATAATGAAGATTCTGGAAATTCAGAGCAAGAATATTAAGAATATTAAGTTTCTAGAGCAAAGAAATGAATCACTTACAATTTCTATTGTTTTATTGAAAGGAACAGTTAATGCTTAATTGTTTGATCAATCTTGCATACCTATGTCTGATAATCTGAGCAACTATTTGAAAATAACAATATGTAATCCAACAACCATTGTTAATTTCCTATCATCTTGTTTTGAAATTCTGTATCACTTTTGTTTTTGTGTTCTTTGTTTTTCTCTTTGTTTTTGTTATTTTGTTTCTGTTCATTATTCTTTAAAGTAAAATTTAAAAACATAAAGTGCATCAGAGTTACAGTAAAATTTTCAACATGAACTTGAGTCAAGGAGACCTTGAAGTATTCTGAGTCCCAAAAGAGAATAATTTCTAGCCCAAATTGGTGTACCATGCAAAACTGTCTTTCACAGTCAATAGAGAAATAAGACATTTCCATCACCAAAAACAAATGAAGAAATTCATGACCACAAAACCAACTCTACAGTGTGTTCTGAAAAATTACCAACAGTGAGATAACAATGTGAACAAATTCAAAAAAGAGCAAAAGGAAGATGCTACCAGGCAGGGTAAGTAATTAAACATAGGGTAAAGATAAGGACCAACAGCAAAAAATAATATAAAAACAAAAAGCTAATGCATATCATTATAACTATCAATGTAAATAGTTTCAGTTCAACTCAAACAGACTGGCAGAATGCACCAAGAAGCAAGATCCAACAATATGCTGCATAGAACAAGCACTTCCAATTCAAAAAGAAATTCATAGACTGAAAGTCAAAGTATGGAAAACAATATTTAATGTGACAGAAACCCAGCAAAAAAAGCAGTAAGCATTGCACTTGTAGGCAATGTGAACTTCAAGCCAAAGCAGATCAAAGTGATTAAAAATATAACTACATTCTTTTTAAGGGAAAACTTCAACAAGAAGTGGTAACATTCATAAATATGTATTCACAAAACACAGGAGCACCCAAGTACCCAAAATAAATACTAATGAACATTGAAAATCAAATGAACACTGAAACTATTGCAATGGGGTACCTTAACACCCCACTATCAGAAATAAATCAACTAGACAAGAAAACAAAAAAATATGAGAACTGAACCAAATCAGTGAACAAATAGACTTAGTAGATATCTACAGAGTGTTGCATGCCACATCAGAATACATATTTTTCTCAACTGTTCATGAGACATTCTCCAAAATAGACCACATAATAGCCCACAGGACATACTTAAGTAAACACAAAGGAATTGAAATTATCCAGTGCATACTATCTGACCATAATAGGATGAATTTGGAAACAGCAAAAGAAACCACAAAAATGTCATAAACATATGGAAATGAAATAGCACCATACTGAACAACAAATTTGCAACAGATAAAATTAGTGAAGAAATTAAACCATTTCTACAGCTAAATAAGAATACCAATGGAATATACAGGAAATTATGGGACAAGATCAAAGCAGTCCTAAAGGAAAATATAGCTGTCAATACCCACATCAGGAATACTGAAGGAGCTGAAAGATCAGAGCAGAAAGTAATGCAAGTGAGACTAATAAAACAATACAAAGAGTCAATGACAATATGCATTGGCTTTTTGTTTTTATATTATTTTTTGCTGTTGGTCCTTATCTTTCCCCTATGTTTATTTACTTACCCTGCCTGGTAGCATCTTCCTTTTGCTCTGTTTTGAATTTGGTCACATTGTTATCTCACTGTAGGAAATCTTTCAGAACACACTGTAGAGTTGGTTTTGTGGTCATGAATTTCTTCATTTGTTTTTGGTGATGGAAATGTCTTATTTCTCTATTGATTGTCAAAGAGTTGGTTCTTTGAAAGACTAAAGAAAATTTATAGACCTAGCTTAACTTTATCAAAAAAGGAGTGGAAAGACTCAAATTCTTGTAATTAGGAACGAAAAGAGTGAAATCACAACAGACACCTTGGAAATCCATACGATGACCAAATAGGATTCATCCCTGGGATGCAGGGATGGTTCAACATATGCAAATCAATAAACATAATACACCATATCACAGAGAAAAGAACAAATATCAAATGATCCTCTCAATAGATACTGAAAAA